AGATTGTAATGGGAAAAAAGATCACACAGCAAAAGAGAACAAAGCGGGTTATACAAAGTTCTCTGCAAGTTCATTGATTTTCTTGCCACTGAGATTGGTCTTAAAAACGGTACACCAAAATTTCTCTTAGCACTTTAACCCTTTCACTCCTAGACTGAGTACCCGTGGACCTTGTAATTGTATGCTCACGCCCCCCCGGCCCCGGGGGGGAAGTTACTCATAATGGCCTATACGGGGAGGCTCCTCCCCAAAGGGTTACCTTTTTCAGCTTTCAGGTAAATGAAATGTTAGCGAGTTCACTTCTTGAAGTATTTGAATGTGTAGGGAAATTAGCCATTTCGTCGGTAAAAAGGCTCAAAAGGGCGAACAGGTGCATTTTAAGGCAGTGAAAAAGTTGAGGAAACGTTCTGGTTTTGTGATTTATTCATGATATTTTAAAGAAAGTGCATTTACAGTTGTTGAGAGGGATGCAAAGTTCTATACTTGGTGTGTGAAAGGGGTATCATTTATCAATAGAAGGTATACGAAAGGGGGGACTTTTCTGTCAAAAATGGTATATAAAAGGGTAGTTAAGGGGTCGAACCTCGGGGTGGAGCCTCCCCGCATACCATTTTCGTTGTACCCCCCGAAACGTTGTGAACTCGTGACGAAGCCCAAAGAACGCGCGTCTGCGTGGGAGGCCTAACGTACCTTATTATAGAAATTAACGCTCTATGAAATTAAGGTATTGGAAATTAATGCGACTTAAATTAACGCGAATTTAATGGAAAACGACTTTAGAATAAAGAAAATTAACGTGAAAGGGGATGTAGAATTTCATAATAAAGGAAATTAACGCGATTAAGACACAGTTGGTGATGACAACTGGAACAAATTTATTTCAACACTGAATGCAAAAACATTCAAAACTGCACAAAACTGAGCTGACATCACTTCTGACAGCGACAACGATGAAGATGAACTCGAAATACTGTAAACCTTCGCCTTAGCTTTTGTGAAAGATAAAAATTAAAGGGTAAATGGAAAGAAAGAAAGCTTGTAGTTAATGTTTTTTAGGTGTCAAGAATATCTGGACAGGTTCCAAAATTGGTGTTAAAATACTGGAAATTAGGAGCGCGGAAATTAACGCTGCACTTTATTAACGTCGAGGAAATTAATGCTCAACAAATTTAACGCGACTTAAATTAACGCGAATTTTAACGATTCGCGTTAATTTCATGGAGGGTTTCATTACGCGCGACCCGATTGGCTATGGCGTTTATCATGACAAGTTATACCATCTCGCGAGGTAGTATAACTCTGCGTGAATTTCCGCTCGTAAAGGTGAGAAAATCCCTTGTTTTTGCTTGTGAAAACAGCTTGCACTTTTTAACTAGTTAAAACCAAGACGAGGTGTTTTCACTGTATTTCCGGACTTTTCCGGCTTTATCTAGTTAAAATTGTCCTAGTGAAAACACAGCCATAATAAAGTATTTCCGGTCGTCGCCTTGCTTCACTATCTGATCACCGAAAAGTAACGAGAGACGACCAGAAGTATGTCTGTGTTCAAAGTCTAGTTCAAATGAAACCTCTCCCTCTTTGGCCGTCTTTTTTCGGAGAATTTTTACCTCTTAGGACTTTACCAAAAAGAATTTTTGTATTTTTGTGAATTTTTAAGTTGGGCACGGTTAGGATTGATAAGGTTTTACTTTTGCGCAGAAAGCGATGAATCCCCGCTATGAATGATGACCCAGACATTAAAGGACACAAATCATTTGCAAATGAACATTCGTTTGATGTTTGATTCCTGTTTCAAATATGAAACACTCATTCGTTTTGATTCTGGACAACGAATGACCCACCGTGATCGGCGTATTATTCAGGCTAGGGAATCAGTGCTAACAACCCCTTTAATGAGCGTATTTTTAACGAAATAGCGACCATGATTGCGCGGAAACGTACAAGGAAGTGTACTCGCAAATGTAAACATTTCTGATCCTTACGCGAAAATAATAAAGGTTTCGAAGAACCAGATGGTCATAACAAGTAAACTCTTTTCATCACCGCAAATTCTACACCATGCACCCAACATGTACTCAAGACAGTGACGATAGTTCTGTATGCCGAGGCCATCAAATTCTTTAAACGGTAATGTGTGGTGTACGAGTGGAACTTCGACAAAATAATTATCCTAAATTTTATTTTATCTGTGGTTATGTTAAGCTGAATAACCAATGCAAAATTACTCACCTTACCCAAAATTGATCCAAGGGACTTCGATTTAATAAAACGTAAGGTAGCACGATGAAGAAGAGAAATTGATTGTCGAAAGCGGAACTGCTTGACATAATATTGGCGTCTGACTAAGACAGATCACGTACATGTCGTTATGGTCGAGCTATTTTCACAGTCACGCTATTTTCCAAAGTCACGCTATTCAAAGAAAATGAGGGCCCGTAAAGGCGCGGCGGGAGGGGAACCTCATCTGAAAACTAAGGATATGCTGGTCGGAAAATTAGAATCAAACCCCTAATGCGACGGAGACCGGCTTAGGATTTATTTGACCCCCAACTTCGCTTTTATATCTTTGAAACCATGCAGGTCTCTATATTTAAAAACATTTTGTAATGTTTTACAGCAGAGTGATTATGGGTGCAAGTGGATGATGTCATCAATTTTAAATTCTTTCATGTCACGCGAAGTGGTCGCGAATTATATAAAGTTACATCATACTTCCGTAAACAAAAATAATATACAGTTCAATTACAATTTCCTGAAAATTAAAGTTGTATCTGTCTACGTTTGCGTTATTTCAGTTGGCGAATTACATTAATTATCCTCATGTTTAAGAAGAATAGGCAACTGTTGTTCTGTTGTTCAAGTGATAATTGTCAGAGGTTTCTTTTCTCTTTTTTTATTTAATAGTTTTGTTTTCTTTCTGTACACAAATTTTCCTTTTCACTTGCTGTGAAGTAGCTGAGAACGACAACGGTCGGCAGTGACTTCAAAACAATTGTTTCTTTGCCCGTAAACAATTGCTAGGGCTGGATTTGACTGAAGCGAGCAAAACAAACCCTTATGTGCAGTTTTCTGTATTTTCTAACGATTTGCTGAGTTTAATTTGCTTGAATGAAGACCCTCGCATGGACCAGTTATTAAAAATGGCTACATGGTTAATCATAACTTGGCTGCGAAGCTTGCAACTGATCTTTTGCTTTTAAGATCTTTAGGTAGGATGTTTTCGTACAGAAAATTCACTTCTTCGATGTCATTGTCACGTATAAGAGCCTTATGTTTTTTTAATGATAATTTGTTGTTTTGCAACCGTATTGAACATGATTTAAGCTTTTTTTATAGTTCACTTAAGCTGAATTCTGTGCATGCACAATGGAATTGTTCTTTGCTTGTCTCATCTCTTTGCAAGCTTAAAGAGGCGTCTATGGTCCTTAAAGCAACCTCAGCAATTAAATCATATACATAATTGGAAAGACGTTTTTGCAATAATGTAACTTTAACTTTGCTTAAAGGAAATCTCACTTAAGCGTAGTTAGGTTTTTGACAGGTGTGATGCATGTTCAACTTGACATCACGCAAAATTTATCTCCGTGAAACGATCGCAAGTTTAAAAAACTATAGTTTCTTTGAAACCAACTTTTGGAAGGATTTTACAAGATAAAGATTGACATTTTTCTGCCCACATATCAACGCAATAACTTCTACATCGAGGATTTTGTTTATATTTAATTTTTAGTGATCTGCGAAGCTACGAGTGTCCGATCGAGCGTGGGTTTTAAAATATCAGCTCTAGTGCGACAAAGTTCAGTGACTTCAAACACATTGTGGGCAAGAGTTAATTTTGGGGGGCAAATCACTGTCCAAAGATATGTTGCTTTTGTGTTCGCAGTGGAGCTTCGGACCTTATACATCCAGGAACCTCCTTATATGGACTCATTTTGTGAATGCAAAATCGGACCTACGCATGCACATTTCCAGTACAACGCAAGGAAATGAATGTCGTTAAAGTCCGTTTTACTATGAGGTATTCTTCGAGAAAATTAAGTAATGGCAAGGTTATAACCACAGCTTGCAACTTTTGAAGACAAATTGCCTGTTCTTTCAAGGTTATGAGTAGAAACATTTTAATTTTAGGCAAAAAAATATTTGAAATCCCCCCATTTTCTCAAACCCGGCCAGGGGATCTGGGCAAAAAAGTTCACGCATGCTCATTATGTTTTTCCGCCCTGAAGAGGACTACCTGTTCAATCCAGCCTCGCTCCCAGTCGTCCTCGGCGATTTCGGATGTGACGTCACCTACCAAGCTTGTCGGGAAAATTCGCCAAGGAAACCTCGCGCTATCACACTCGGTTCCAAGCCTCCTTTGGTAACTCGGATAGCGCGAACTGGCCTGGTTACGAGGCTGTGTTCAGTAACTACTGAATAGACCGTTTTACCGATACGGCGGCAATATTGAATCAATTCGATTTAAGGAGTATTATAGGATGCCCAGGGGGCATAAGCACATTTCGTTTGTATTTTCGAGCGCTTTTCGGGACATTTTTTCTTAAAGTTTTCTTAGAATAAGATTGTAATGGGAAAAAAGATCCTTGTGCCGTGTTTGGATGTAATAATGATCGCCTTTTTCCCGAGAAATATACAGTGAAAGACCATATTTCTAATACTAAACTAGAAATACGCGATCATTATTACATCTAAACACGCCACAAGGATCTTCTTTCCATTACAATCTTATTCTAAGAAAATTTTAAGAAAAAATGTTCCCAAAAGCGCCCGAAAATACAAACGAAATGTGCTCATGCCCCCTGGTCTCCTATAATACTCCTTAAATCGAATTAATTCAATATGGTCGCCGTATCGGTAAAAAGGTCTATTGTGCTATTCGAAAAGGATGAATAGTTTAGTGAAAACGGAATTAACCAACGTTTCAAAAAGCATGGTTTTAGAATATCGACCAAACAAGAGAAGGGGGCAGCTCAAACAACTATGCCACATTGTAATGAATGTGTTTTAATATCTAATGAAAATTCGTACGAGCAGTTTTTACAGCATCCTTGTTTCGCACAATATTTACAAAAAACAAATACGCCAGAGGAAATGCGAATGTTAAGAAATGACACCGCATCTTTTTCTTTCAGCACCTTTAACCTTATTAAGCATACGTTAAATGCTTATTAACGAACTGCAACTCGACAACTATTGATGCCTCACTCAAATACCAGTTAATGAAAATAAATAACTTATATTCTTTGTACATAACGCATGGATGAACGAGGAAATTACCAGGCTTAATCCAAATTTCAAAACTGAGGCGCCGGGCTGTGTATGGACCATTTGAAGCTTTTGCTTTCGACATTACAAAGTTCTACCTCGTTTCAGGAAGGAGGGGAAAACAGTACGCCTCATTTTTAGTCAGGCAACAGTCAACAGCCTTGAGAAATGACGTCTGAGAAAGGAGCGCAGAAATTCCATACTGATGATGGGTCACCATCCAATTCCGATTCTGAGTGCTTTTGACTGGTTAAAAGCAAATTTCCCACGCAGTATGACCAATCAGAAGCACTAGCTAGCCTGAGTATCAGGCGTTTCTGGGGGAAAAGGGGAAAGATGAAAGCGAAAAAGGGAGAGAGCCGAAGGAGAGATATCTCCCCCCCGCCCTCCTCCCTCATCTAAAATCTCCTCTACCATAGCCCCTTAGGAAGGCCTGATACTCAGGCTACACTACCCAGTATGGAATTTCGCGGGAAAACCAGTGGTGGCGTCGCGAAATGTCGGCTGTTTCTCAGGTTATAGCGTACCCGACTCGCGTTTAAAATTGACTGACTGACGGTTCGTCTTCGCGACGTTTGACAAAACCAGTCGAGCCCCAAGGTCACAGTGCTACTGAGGAGTGACAAGCTTTGACAAAACTTGGTAAAAATTCAAAGAGGCGTTCGCACTTGTAACCTGGGACATCATACCAGAACAATTGCAGAGTGATAAATTACCTAGTACGGATGTAACAGTTGATCGTTAGTTTCGGTACATTGAACTGTTCCTGATCGGTTTGATTATTCTCAGAAAATCGTATTAAACAAAGCGTTATGATAGAGAAGGATAAGCCGTCTTCTAGCCCAGCCTTTGTTTCGGATTCAGGCAATTCGCTGATGGTTTCAAAAGGCTGTAGTTGCTATCTTCTCTCTAAAGGATCAAGCTTCGGAGAAGGTCTTCGAGGACCTAAAGGTCTCGCCGGTGATGGTGGTTTTGGGCCATGGTGCTGTGAACAAACCAAGCAAACAAACAAAACGTTACTAATCGCTAACCCCTGTACCAAACATCAAATGATCTTCTCGATCGGTTAGTTACATATCAAAGTTTGAAAGCAAGTAACTCTTTTACAAACCCAGTCAAGGATGTCGATAGACGTAGAGGAATACGAGTTCTTGTATCCGGTCTTCTGACCTACGACACTTTCACTTAGCTTCACCTGCAGGAAGAAAATAATTACTTTATCACGGGATTTAACGACACCACAAGCAGCTATACTGAAAAGCAGCCCCGCAACACAAGAGACAATGATCTTAAACGTATATGTTGCAGGTAATTTATTAGTTCAGACAATTTTTGTTCTTCTTTTGTTTGAAATTCATTAGCATTCATTGCCATACCCAAAAACAAAGGAAAAACAAAATTAACTGAAATAAAAAAAATAACTGCAATATCTACGTAAAAATGGAAGAGATGGCAAGCGTTATTGGAGCTTAAGCAACGACGACGGCTCGACGACGTAAACAAAAGACAAAAACTTTCTTTTTCTTTCGCTCAACTTCGATACAGTCCTTAGAATTCAACTCCAAACAAAAATAGTCAACATCTGACTAATTAAACGAGACGCAGTAAGCCCAATAAAGTGTGAGGCAGCGCGACTTCACTTTTTAATTGAAGTGACGTTTTCGTAGCCGTCGCCGTCGTTGAAGCTCCCTGTTGTTTTAACACTAATGGATGACAAGGGGTGTTATGAATAAGCTTCCAGTGAGGCGAACAGCCGACATGGTTGCGCGAACTTTAGTTTAGCAATCATTAATGAATTTATTGCTGCTTTCGAAAAAACATTTCAGCCCCATTTGCTGCGAGCAACATTTCCCCGTAACGCTCTTCGCACTTCACGTTTTTTGAAATAGCAAACAACGAATTTCTCATTACCTGTAAATCAGCTTTGTCTTTCGCCCATTTTCTCACATTATCAGCCAACTAAAAAGTAAGAAAAAGGTTGAGACATTAGTAAATCTGTAACTGGGAAGTTTGCATTTCGAGGATGATTCCGACATGGGGAGCAAGAGCGGCGCATTATTAGCGAGAGCTCACTTGCCACCCACTATCATGGCCCAGGTTAGAATTCCAGAGACGAAGCTTGCATATGCGGATTGAGTTTGTTGTCGAACTTCTTTTCAGTCTCACTCCAAGAGAAAACTCCCCGAGAGCTCCGGCTTCCCCTTATGGTAGAAAAGACATACCACCATTAAATTTTTGTTTATTACGTTTCCTTCAAGAACATGGAAACAATTTCGGTTAACAATAAGCTCTTCAAACAGTTGTAAATATTCTCAGTTCAGAAATAAATTTTGTGTTAAACTTGTTTGTCTCCGCAGAATTTGTTCTCACAAGGTGTGCATTCGTAACATTTGAAAATATGACCTGAGGAGTGAGAAGGAGATGTCGACATCTTGCTGGCCGAGTGTCCCTGTAAACTTGTTTTCACCACCACCGTACAACATACCTGTTTTTCTAGTGCAACAATGCGGCCTTCAGCTTTCTCCAGTTTTTCATACAGTTCAAGGCGTTCCATATCGGACATTGGGCCGTTCTGCCGAACAAAATACACGGCAATTACTACTTCTCTTTATTTTAATGTAAAAAGTTTGAAATCACTCAGAGCTGGGATTTATCAACACGGTCAGTAATGTGTGATTATACATTATACTGCAGTTTAACGTTATCAAAATAGAAGCAGCAAAGACAATAGAAAAATACACTTTTCATAAATACAATTTAGCCCTCCAGAAGGTAACGATACTGGGAACGAGGGATTGTTCGGCTGACGTTAGAAAGTTTTGGATAGGGGGGTAGTTTCCAAAGACGGTCACTAACCGATCATAGATCTTTCTCACTGTCTACACAAACGATCGCAGAAATCTTGATGCTAAGTTCTGTGTTTTTTCTGGAGAGGCGCACCGACCAACGGAACCGACGGTTTCGTGACAACCTTGCGTAGCCATGGACAAAGTGTACAGTAAACGCGAGAATTAAGGTTTATTTCATAAGAACAAACAAAGAAACAAATTTTCATCGCTGACTTACACTCGCCACATGCTTGTCAGGAGGGGATCTGAAACAAAAGTAAAATGTCATTTAGACCCGGATGGAATCACAGATAACTGGGAGATGAGCCGACTAATTTCCGTGCAGAATTCCGATGCTTCAGTCACAGGCTTAGAATGGATGTCCCCCAAACGAGTTACCAACGAGCAAGTTCTCGACAAGGGGGTTCGACTTGGAATAGGCTCAATCCTTATCCGTTAGTCAAAAACCTGTTCGCAAGTTGCAGTAACTCGCGCGGTAGATAGTTTCTCCCGTTTTCCTTCTTTGTAAAGTTATATTTGCCATAAAAAAGTTAAATTATACGGATTCTATATGCTAGTAAACGTCCTGTCCACAATTTAGAACAGTTCTTTTTAAAAGTATGTTGTAAACATCGGCGACCCAGGGGCAGCTTTTCGGAACGATGGGATTTTCTTGAACGAAATTTTATCCAGAAGTAAGAAAAACGAAGAAAAATATTGGTACCTAAAAATCGATGTAAAAGTATTTGAATAAAATCAGTACATCGGACGCTAAGCTAGGAGTCCGGAAAGGAAAACGCCACTGCTCCTCGAGGGCAAAGATTGTACAATAATTACTTGGAGATTATTATAATTCCAATCATGATGTAAACTCATACACGCGGACATTTGCAAGATATCGACAGTTTTGGAATTTGCTAAGAAAAGCGACAGATATTACACAGAATGAGGGACATGAGTTGTAGCACAGCCAATCTGTGGTCAAAACGAAGTATTCAGTCCTCTTATTTTTGTCCAAATATAGGAAAGGGGAAGGGGACTCTTGCCCCCTCCTTAGACACGTCACTGGGACTGTGTACCTTGGTAGCTTTTGCTTCGCTTCAGCTGTCTTCAGCAACTCCTACAAAGTAACAAAAGAAAGGAGGCAGTTACAGTCAAACCTTTCTCAAGGATAAAAAGAAGTACAGACGAATCTTCACGTTCTACCAACCCTAACAGGCGACCCGTCTATCCAATCGAATACCGAAATCAATTTTTTCCAGACAATGCATCAAAATAGTCGGCGGCTTTCGAAGGCGACCACAAAGACTATCGAGTCGTTTTGGGTGGTTACTTGCCCATGCTAGATAACAAAATTATTTCATTTTGCCGAATTAAAAAGAAACAAAGAGCAACATGCTCTTCAGTGTTGCTTAAAAGGTTTCATTTAAAAGAGACTACAATGCTTCTGCAACAACACATGATTTCATTTTAATGCCAACAAGTCAGGAACACAACGTCTTTCGTAGTTCACTTTGGAGCAGCACTTCAAGAGCAGCACTTCAAAGGCTAAGCTTCTCATTTTCACTTTTCAAAAGTGTAAAACGTAACCAATAAAATGCCAGTTTAGTTTACTTTTTTTAGTTAACTGATAAAGTTGCTAGTGATTAAACTTGCAGACTCTTCGGCACTGTTTGCGTCACTAAATTTGTTCGGTGAAGAAAACCTTTCAACGAAATGAAACTCGTTATTACGAGAAGAAAGAAGGCATGTACTGTTTTAAACGTAATTAAGAATCTGCATTTATCTATTAAACTGGTCGTTTTTTTCTCTGTACCTTGTACTGCATGACTTCCGCTTGCAGCTTGATGTTTTCTTCACTAAGAGTTCTGTAAGTGTCTTTATTTTCTTCTAAGAATAACATAGAGAAAAATAATAAATATCATTATCAAAATTACTGACGTATATCTCTTATTTCGAGACATGTAGCACGAAATATTTATCACGTACGGCGAGCGCTCTATTTCCAGGGCCCTTAATAAAAGTCAAAGTCAAAGTCCAACATACCATCGTTATACTGCGGGCCTTTTCCATGTTTGGCTAAAAGCTGCTCAAGCTGAACGATAACCTGAAGTGAAGAGCATCACGTACATCAAATTAAAAGTTAGATAAAATCTGTTTCATGTGGGCAATGTGCTTAATCTCACGCAGGTGGGCGTTCATGCTGTGGATCAATTTCATTCTCGGTGTAAATTTTACTTAAGTTTTCTTTTACTTATTAATTTTTTTTAAACCAAGGATATAATCGGACCACAATAGTTACTTCGTCTCTCCCTGGATCCGAAGCGAATCCATTTAGGCTTAACACGATATTCTGAAAGGCTTACCGACCTTTCCATCAGCTTAGCTAGTGCGTAACTTAACCGAAGAGCCAACTAGGTATTGTTGATTTGTTATACCGCATTTTGCCCCTCAAAACAAACCGCCCGGACGTAGAAAAAACCTCTGGCACCCAGGAAAACTTCGTCAGCGCTTAATTCCAGACCTTTCCCCTTGATCAGG